TTTGACTGGGGATTGAACCCAGGCGCACCTTACCACTGAGCTACATCTCCAGCCCTTTTAAATTTTCTTTTTTTCTCCTGCTTCAGCTCCTGCGTACTGGAATCACAGGTGTGTGCCACTGCAGCCTATGCTCTGCCTCCTTTTGGGAGGATAATTCTCAGTTTTATTGACTTATTTTTTTCCAATTATGAAGTTATTACATGCTTCTTATAAAATTTATAGCTAGACTGGTGCAGTAGTTTATGCCTGTAATCCCAGCAGCTCAGGAGGCTGAAGCAGGAGAATCACAAGCTCCAAGCCAGCCTCAGCAATTAAGAGTCAATTTAGGAAGACTCTGTCTCAATATTAAAAATAAAAAGGAATGGGGATGTGACTCCCTGGTAAAGTACCCCTGGATTCAATCCCCAGTACCAAAATAATAACAGTTTACAGCTGGGCGAGGTGGGGCTCACCTGTATTCCCAGCTACTTGAGATGCTGAGGCAAGAAGATTGCAAGTTCAAAGCTAGCCTCAGCAACTTAGCGAGGCCCTAAACAACTTAGCAAGGTTGTATCTCAAAAAAAAAAGAAAGAAAAAGGGCTGGGGATGTAGCTCAGTGGTAAAGCAACCCTGGATTCAATCCCTAGTCCCCCCCTCCAAAAAGTAATATATATGTACATATCTTAAGAATTGAAAGTACAAAAAAAAATGTATAAACATATCCTTTTCCCAAAAGCCTCTCTGTCCAAGTGTCTGTTTTGGTGAATTCCAGTACAGGTTTCCCCTGTCAGCCTGTCAATGAGGTCCTGGAAACCTTCTCATTGTTTCACTTCCCAAATCTCAGGGTACTTTTTACAGTTCTGTCACCCTGCCTTCTGCTTGGGAACTCCCTTGGAGGCACAAGTGGGTACCTGGCTGCTGTAGCATAGTGCTCTTTGCCACAGCAGCATTCAGGGTTCTCGAGAACAAGACAGGATCCCTTGCTCTCTCTCCAAAATGGTACTGTCTAGTATCTTCATTAATAAATTCTCTGTATAAGGATTGGTAAGCCGTTTAATTTTTTATTATATTTTTTGGTACCAGGAATTGAACCTGGGGGATGCTTAACTACCAAGCCATATCCTAAGCCCTTTTTAATTAAAAAAAAATTTATTATGAGACAGGGTCTCCACTAAGTTGCTTGAGGCCTCCCTAAGTTGCTGAAGCTGGCCTTGAACTTACAGTCCTCCTACCTCAGCCTCTTGAGTTTGTGGGATTAGAAGCATGGTCATTCTGCCTGGCTGACAAGCTGTTTTAAGCACCATCCTGAAAACTAGAAGCCTTATCAAATTTAGCCCAAATAAATTTCTCAGATTGAGAATCTCCATATTTAGGCCAGATCATGGGAAGATGGAGGCCAGTAAGTACCCACTTCTGATGTGGTCTGACCAGAGCACAGGGACTGCTGCCTTAGAAATAAAGTGCCCTCACCAAGGAAGGTGACCAGCTGCTGGGGTGTGCTCCATTTCTGTGTGATGTGCTCTAGGAGGAACGTGGGTAGACTGGGACATGTCTAGAGTGGAGTGACAGAGCAGGGCAAGGCTTGGGCCTGTGGCCTGCCAGAAGTTCTTAAGGAATCTGAAAGGATTTTTAGCCTTATGTGGGGGGAAATCATGGCATTTATGTGAAGGGCCAGAGGGTAGAAAATTTGTGTTTCCCAATAAAGAATCCTTTGCTTTTAGAGGAAGCCACACAAAGGCCAAGTGTGCAGAAGGAAGGGAGGTGGGGGCTGGCAGTTATTTTCTTGGGTTCCTTTCATCTCCAGGTCCTGTGTTTCTGCTGGAACAAGCAGGGTTTTAGTTTCCATTCCCTTTGTGACACTGTTAAGATTTTTTTTCCTTACATCTTTTATTCTTTCTCCTTAAGTGCTGGGAGACACTGGGCAGGTAATTTTAGTAAGTAAACACTATAAAGTTTTGACGGTTATGAATGGCTCAGGAAGGCGCAGGAAAGGAATGAATCCGTAAAAGTCCTTGCAAGAGGGTGGAAGGCCTGTGTCTGGGGACAGCAGTGCTTTTTCCATCTCAGAGCTCTGTTTGCACTCTGGGCCATGTCAGCAGCCTCCCAACAAGTGTGGCAGGTGGTCCTGTATAAAAGCTCTGGGAGGACACAGCCTTGAACCAGACCCCCTTGGTGGCCTCACGGAGTTGCAGAATATAGGGGCTTGACATAAAAGCAACAGCACCAGGCACATGATGCTCAAGGTGGGGCATCCTCTAAGTTTCATTACCTCTGGTTTCATTACCTGTGGAGTGGGGACACCAATAGCTCCATGTTTGGTGTTTGCTAGTGACACCTGAGATGTCATGAGGGACTGGCCCAGAGCCAGTGCTCCACATCTAGGGGCCATGAGTTCTAAGGCTTCCTGGAGGGGTGATGGGGAGAATGAGCTTCCCACTGATAAATCCAGAAAGCTGAAGAGGGGAGCTAATGGTGAGGAGGGGGGTTGGGAATATAATTCCAATTTTTTTTGGGGGGTGTACCAGGGATTGAACTCAGGGACACTCCACCACTGAGCCACATCCCAGCCCTATTTTGTATTTTATTAGAGACAGGGTGTCACTGAATTGCTTAGCACCTCACCAAATTGCTGAGGCTGACTTTGAACTCGTGATACTCCTGCTCAGCCTCTCGAGCCCAGCCTGCGCCACCGTGCCCAGCCTGTAATTCCAATTTTTTCTTTGCAGCAACAGGTAAGTTGTTCTTTCATTTCTATTGTGCAATGAAAAAGAAATTTCCACACTAAGCACGTATCAGCGAGTATGTCTCAAATTGTATTGTGATTACATCCTGAAGCCACTCAGATTCCCCATCAAACCCCAGTTAACTAGTACAGCAGTGAGCTGGTCTGGGTCTTGGGGCCCTCTTGTGTATTCCCCTTGGTTCTAATCCAACACGCCTCCATCTGGCCTGCTTTAGTTTTTCTGGTTCGCTCATTCTGCAAACACTGATTAAGCCCCAGTGCTGCAGGTACCAGAATCCGTGCTGCAAATTACCCATGGAGGCAGGCTGGTCCCCACTTCACGGGGGAGTAGGTGAGCTCCAGGCTCAGGGCACTGATGGGAACGTGCTCTGAGAGCACAGGGCAAAGGCACCCGTCCCAGGCTGGCTTTCTGGAGCAAGTGACAGGTAATTGAGCCTAGTGGATGAGTAGGAGTCAATGTGGGGGTGAAATCATAAATGGGAGGAAGGCCCAAGGGTCAGAACTTTCAAGGAATTGAAAGAAATTCTGCAGGTTGCAGCCTAGAAGGAAAGATGGGTGGAAATGAGCAGGAGAGGTGAGCTGGGAACACTGGCAGCCAGACCCGGCTGCGGGAGCAGATGGGGTGGGTGGCTGAGAGTGGAGTTGGCTGTGGCCTTGAGTCAGATGGCCAGAGGGAGGAGGTGGGTTTGGAATTGGTGGTCCCCAGAGTTTGCTTCCAGGGCTGGAGGGGTGGTGAGGAGCTGGCTGGGAACAATTCCATGGAGAAGCTGTAAAAGCACTGGGGCCTGTTGGATTTGGTGGCTTGTTTTTTGTTTTTTTTTTTTTGTTTGTTTGTTTGTTTTTAAAGGATGGAAAGGCCTTGAGTCATGGAAAGCAGAAGATATTGGGGGAGAGGATTGGTGAATGGCAGAATTGATGTTCTAAGACTGTAGGAGGAAAGGCATTAGATGTACAGGGGGAGGGTTGGCCCTGGTGGAAGGGCCTGGAAGTAGTGACAAGAATGCAGGTGGGGCTGTGGGTGGCCTCAGAGGGACATCTCTTGGCCAAGAGTGCAAGGCCCTGGGTTCCATTCCAGCATGGAAAAAAAAAAAAAAGAGTGGGAGGAGACCCTCAGAGCAGGGGAAGTAGGAGAGGGCAGCAGAGACATTTGAAGGGAGCAGAGGGGGTGGGAGGAAATGCTGGGGAAGAAGGAGAACAGCCATCCAGGGCAGAGCCCGGAGCCACAGCAAGTGTGCCTATCTGAGCCTAGGAACTGGTTTTGCAGTGACAGCAGTCTAAGCCATCCTGGGGTGTCTCTTTTCCCCAAAGAGAAGCCCTATCTCCCACCACCCCACTCCTGTGCTTTAGTTCTCCACCCAGGAGTGACCCTCAGATTGGAGAAGGGACAGTTGCCCTGTGATCAGAGCTTCCCCTGTGAACGTCACTGGGTCTGCCCTGGGTGGAGAGGCTGGCACGTCTTCACAGTGACCTCTGAATGAGGGTGACACCTTATTCTCAGAGGAGCCAGGATCAGGCTCGACATGGAAGAAGCTGCAGGGGTCAGGCTGGAGGAAAGGCAGAGAGCAAGTTTATTTTTAATCCCAAGTGGGCACTGGAACTGCCAGCAAGAAGCAGACGGCTCTCGGGGAGAGTGGAGATTGGCAGCCAGTCAGGCACTTGTCAGGAAACCTGGAGGCTGCCCAACGGGCAGGGGTTCAGGCGGATGAAGGCCAGGGCCATGTGGGAGGGGTCGGGGGATGAGAGGAGCAGGGTTAACACCTCAGAGTTCAGCTCCAGCACTTCCCAAGGAAGCAGTGGGGATTGGAGGATGAGACCTGGAGTCCCCCAACCCCCTGAGAAGTGCCTTTGTTCCCTCACCCGTTGGCTTAGTCTTGATCTGTGTCAGCTGGACCAGGTGACTAGCTCTGTGAGGGAGTAGAGGACAATCAGGAGTCTGTTAAGGGCTCCTTGCTGCTAAAACTCCCTCTTCGGAGGTGTTCTGTCAGCATTCTGCAGAGCCAGGTGGCTCTCGGTCCTGAGAGGTGACCTGGAATGTGGCCTGTGGCCTACTGGAAGGTCTTCCCCTCTGCTCTGCGACCTAACCAGGGCCAAGACAAAGGTGCAGGATGCTGACAGGCCCTCTAAGAACTCCTGCACCACGGGAAGGGGTCCCAGGACCCTCTTCAGGAACTGTCACCAGGGCTGGTCCCCAGGTCGTAAAAGCTGAAGCCTCTCAGAGGACATGATAACAATAGCTCGAGTCTCAGCACTGACCCTCGTTATTTTACTCTCAACAGCAGATGGCTTGAAGAGCCCATGGGCAAGAGCTCTGAGCATTTGGCTAGAAGTCTTCAGGAGTCTTCTTGGCACCCAGCCTCAGGGTTGGCTGCTTCTCTCTCCCGCTGACCTTCTGGAAAGGTTGGTAGAAATCTTCTATTACTTCCAGCAAGTCCCAGGGCTCAGAGCCCCTTTCAGGGCAAAGCAAATCTAGGTCTTTCACTCTAGTTATAATTTCCCCGTCTTGCCTTCCAGAAAGGACTGTACACACGGCTTCTCTGACCTCTGGTGAGGCAGCGTCTGTTGTACCTGATCCAGATCCCTCTGTGTGTCTGCTGCCTCTTCCTCCTTACCTTAAGTTTCCTGGGTTTCAGTCTTGCTACTTCATAGCACCAGTTGTAGGCACTTGTAGCCACTGAGCACTTGAAATGTGACTAGTCCAAACCTAGATGTGCTTCAAGAGCAAAATACATTCCTGATTTTAAAGATTTAGTGAAAAAAAAAAAAAAAAGAAAAGAGAACCTAACATCCCAATAATTATTTTTTTTGTTGATTACATGTGGAAGTGAGAATGGTTTGGATATATCAGATTTAATAAAATGCATTATCTTTATCTGTTTCTTTTTAAACTAGGCTACTAGAAAATTTTAAAACTCACCTGTAGCTTGCGGTGAGGCCTACATTCTATCCTGTGGGACACAGGTCTAGACACAGGGATGAGCCGTGATGAATGTGTCATTGTTCCTTCAACTCAACAGGTAGACTTTCTGAGCACCTGCAAGGTGTAGCGAGGGCTTCCTGAACCCAGCTCTCCATCCTGGCCACCTCCAACAGGAGAGGGCAGGCAGTGAGCAGCCATGTCAACCTGAGCAGACAGCTGGGAACTGGAATCCGTACCTGTGATCCATCCAGAAATCCTACGGGGTGGGTGCTAACTCATTTGTGGGGGGACTCAGAGGCAGCTGGGGGTTGTGATCTAATAGAAGGACTTTCTACTTTGGAAAAAACACCCCTGAGTATTTCTTGCAATAGGCGAGCTTCCCAGCAATTTCAAATTCTTGGTCCCACTCCCCACTGTTTAGGAACCACTCCTCCGAACTGCTTGTGACGTCTTCTGAGTAAAAGTCACTCCTCTCTGTTGATCAACCTGTTTGGGACACACCTGAAGCTCCATTCCAGCCCACAGGCATTTATTTCCTCCTGGAAAGTTTCAGAGAGAGGTGCTGGCATCATAGGCAGGGAGGCCAGAGGCAGAAGGCATGGGCACCTCCTGGCACTGTCATTGCCAGCCAGCGCCTGCTCTTTCCTGAAGCCTCTGCTCCTGTAGGCACTCAAAGATAACACAGCACCAAGGCAGGGAGGTGGCAGGTGACCCTGCTCTGACCTTCAGAGTTAGGACTGCTGAACCTCCCCCGTGCCCTCTCTGCCAACTATCTACTAATAGCCTCAAATTTCAGTCGTTCAGGGGCCAGCAGTGGACTCAGCAGACCAGCAACTGGGAACTGAGAAGGGGTTAAGTGTAGAGATGGAGCTGTTGAGAGGCAGGAGCAATGGAAAAAGTTAAAAATAGGGTATCCAGCCCAGAGCAAGGAAGCAAGGGACACTCAGACTTGGGTCCTTGACTGACGGGTTCGAGAATGCCTCTTGCCTCTTCACCCTGCACACTGAATGGAAAAGCTGCCCGTCAGCCTCTGGAGATGCCTCAGGTGTTGCCTGCATGGGGGCACTGAGACGCAGCATGAGGGTGGGGACCGGGAATCTAAGTTGAATGTGACCCTGTGTCCTATCTCTGTGTACAAGTTCAGGTGGTCCTGGGAGTTCTGCCATTTGGGACTAGGGCTCTGATCCTGGCCCTCCTAGCTGCCCTCTCCCCAGGACCCTGCCTGGTGCTGCATGATCTCCTCCCTGCCCTGTCGCCCCTCCTTTTCCTGCTCCCACCCCCTTTCTTTTTTCTCTTCCCTGACTGCACCAGACTTCCAGTGCCGATGGACCCTCCCAGGGTAGGTCCTTCCCTCCACCTCCCCAGACAGAGCACCTCCTGGCCCAGAGGGGACTGACATGCCAGAGTAGGGTGGAAAAGAGGTTCTGGGCTCAGACTGCGGCCACTAAACAGTCTTGCCCACCCCAGCTGGGCAGAGAGAGTAGAGGGTGGGAACCGAGCACTGTGCCCTAAGAGTACAGCTGGTACTGGGCTGGTCCAGCTTTCTGGAGTCTCTGGAGTGAAGAGAGACTTTTTTGGCATTGGCCTTAACAGGGAGGTTGAGTGTCCTGCTTGCTTCACCCTGTGCTCGGCAGAAGCCAGAGCAGGGACAGTGTCTTTGTTGGGGCAGGCAAGGAAGGGAGGGCTGGGCCTCCACCCAGTGTCTGTTTCCTCGCCCGGAATGGGAGAGAATGGGAAGTCATGCCCCTTCCTCTCTGTGTGTTCCTGGGGGCTCCCTTCCTGCCCCCAGCTCCCTGCTCCCCCCCCCTAGTAGTCAAACTCCTTGCCAAGCCCCAGGAGGGAGAGGGCCTGAGTCACACATTAAGGCCATTTACAGAAAGGAGAGACACAGGTTGGTGTGAGCTCCGTGGAAGCCCCAGGATGTGATCTTTAATTGATATTCCTGGCCCTGCCTCCCCACCCCAAGCCCCAGATGACCTATGTACAGAATGCATAGGGAGCCAGGTCCAGGCCAGAGAAGTCCCCACTCCCCACTGGGCACCGCCAGGCTGTACCGTCAGGGCGGGACAGGAGGATGCAGACAGCTGGGAGCCAGGATCCACTGGTCACAGGAAGTCTCTACTCCATGTCCCCACCCCCACGGGCACGTGAGCACACAGACATGCCCATGTGTGCGGAGGCATTCACACTTGTGCAGAGATGTGGGTCCACATGCTTGTGCCCAGATGCATCGCCACTTGTGTGCCCATGTGCCACCTGAGAATGGAGGCCTCAAGTTTTCGTGGCAAAAGTGCAAAGCCCAGCCCTTGACCAGCCTCAGGTTGTGGAGCAGAACTGGAAAAAGGGGCCACCTGCTCAGCCCCCTCACTTGGGCCGAGCCAGCTGGGGCACAGTACTGAGGACCTCACTGTAGCTGATGTCACCCAGTCACCCGAAAGGCTGTCAATGGGTCCCAGACTCATTTGCCTCTGAGGGTGGTTTGGATAAGTAGGGAGCTATTTCCTCCTTGATTCCTCTTCAAAGAGGCCCCAGAAAGAGGGACACAAGCAGGCAACTTAGAGAACACCCTGGGGTGTTCAGAAACCCCTTCTGAGTCTAGATGGTGAACCCTGGGGTGGGGCGACTCCATCCATTGTGGCTTTCATCCATAAGGTAGCCCTCTGCTCATCACTTTTAGGGTCACAGAGCCAGAGCTCCTGCATCTCAAGTGAGGGCCACGAGGGCAGGCTGGGGGCAGGCCTGTGTGTGGGAGGGCGGAGAGCTGCCGGCCTTAGGTTCTCAGGCGTGGCCGCATCGGGGTCAGAGGAGAACAGATAGGGACACATCTGTAAACTTACTGGCTGGGCCTGGAAGGGATCAGGGAGTAGAAAGGGTTTGATGAGGCCTTGAGAACTTTTCTAGAAACCTAGGATGGTCCCCAAGACCTGCCCTTTCCTCATCTTCTCTTACCTCATAGGCACTACCCCTCCAGGCACCGGGACACTGCTGGCCCTTCCTACCTAAAGAGCCCTCCCTGGGAGGATGGCCTGGCCTGGGACTGCCAGGCCCCATCAGGGGGCACCTAAACCCTGAGTCAGCCCCAGAATTACCCTTATCGAAAGGGGAAGGTGCCATTTTATTTCAGGGACTGTATTTTCTGGTCCCCTGCCCCCACAATACATGTGTCCAGGCGGGAACCAGATTGTTGTTTTGGAATTGAAGACAATCTGGGACATGTGGTCACCGTACCCACAACCTAGCCTGGGGCACGGGACAGGCAGCTTTGGTTTGAGATCAGCACACAGACTTCTGAGCTCCTCAAGGCTGGGGTTGGGGGCGGGGCAAGCGGGACGTCCAGCCACTGGGTGCAGTGACAGGATTCCAGGTGGGAGCATCCCAGGGGAGGGTCTCCCTGAGATGACCGTACCTCAGTTCCTCCAGGCCCTCTGGTAAATGTCAAAATATCCCTAGAGCTGCCCTGGCCCCAGCACCCCAAGGTTACATTCATTAGTTAAGATTCAATTAAAAATAAAAAGTAGATGTCAGCCCCTTCCCGCTAGGTCCTAGAGAGCTGAGTCCCTGGTACCAGCTGTCTAGATCTGAAGAGGGGCCATCCCAGGCCGTGTCCGCTGGTGGCTGCCTGCCCCCATTGGGGCACCACTCCAGGCCCCCCCACTTGAGCTGTGGCAAACTGTGATGATGGAAGCTACATTCACAGGGAGAGTTGGTGTGCAAGGCCAAAGCCGCATGAGGTGGGGTGGGACCGTGAAGGAAATGCCCTCCAGGCCTGGGCCACCCTGGTGGTTCGAAGGGCAGGGCCACAGCCCCCCCTCCAAACCCCTGTGGAGCCAGGAGTTGAAGGGTTGGACCTGGAAGACATTTGCACGGTGCCTCCCTCTGTGGCTGGGTGGGGGCAGCCTCGTGGTTCAGGGCCGAGACGGTGGGTGCCAGGCTCGGAGGGAGGGGGGTGGCGCTTAGGCCCCTCCGGACCTGGAACGGAGAGGGGGCATCAGGGGAGGGTATGAGGCAGGGCCCAGAGGGAGAGCCCTCCAGCTGGGGAGTCAGTGCTGGGCCCTGGAGGCAGCAAGTCACAGGCTGGCCGGGGAGGGGGTCTGGTGGGAGGTAAGACAGCGGTGACATGGAAGACAAAACAGATGGGACGCAAAAGGAGGATCCCTTCCCAGGGAACTGGGGCTGCAGGGGGCACAGCTCCAGGGCCCACCTGGCCAGGTGGTCAGGCCGTAGGAGGGGCAGCAGAAGATGACCGCGGCCCCTGAGGATGAGGGGGCAAGAGGAAGGGGTGGGGCAGGCTGAGAGTGTTCATCCCAGGCCGCCTGCAGGGCTGGGGAATCGGCCCCCAGCTCCCGTCAACAGAATGCCAGAGCACAAATGAGATGGAGGAGACAAGGACAGCGGGAGGGATGATGTGGCCGGCGTCACACTGCCCCCTGCTGGGTCGGGTCGTACCTTCCTCTGCGGATGTTTCTTCAGGAGCCAAGGCAAGACAGGGGAGAGAGAGAGAGGAAAAGGAAATCTGACCTTCCCCTGCTCTCCAGGGAAGGGCCTCCCAGCCCTTGTGAGACTCCCTGACCTAGAGAGAGGCCTGGGTCGCCAAGACCTGGACAACTAAGGACAGGGCCAGTGGGCAATACTGAGATCTACCAAAAATGGGCACTGGGTTCAATTCCTGACTCTGCCACTAACTCACCATTTGATCCAGTGCCTCAGGTTCCTCCTTCGTATATCGAGGGGGATGGATCAACTCCAGGGCCCCACACTTAGATGACCAAGGGGCTCTTAGGTTCAGTGGGGACTAGGGATAAGGGAACACACACCCTGGCACCAGTGAGTCTTGCAAGCCTCCAACCGGCTGTGCTGAGATACACTGAGGCACACTGGGGCCCAACATATATATTATGGTACTGGGGAGTGAACCTCAGGGTATCCTTCCACTGACCTCCATCCTAGCACCACCTCCCTTGTTTTTTGTTTTTTAATTTTGTGACAGTCTTGTTGCCGAGGCTGGCCTCAGACTTGAGATCCTCCTGTCATAGCCTCCAGAGTCACTGGGATTACAAACATGTACCACCACTCCAGCCAATCTTTATATTTTTCAAGAGAGGCTGGCAGTTGGGATTGTTAAACGTGAAATTTCTTGGTTTCTAAATGTGAGCAATTGTTCAAATGTTGCAACGAGACCCTGTGGGCTGACTTGGACTGGTGATGTGTGAGCTCTGATTTATGTAACCTCTCAGGGAAGTCCCCCTCAGCCCCGACAGTCTGAGAAGACACCAGGGAGTCTAGCGTGCATGTACGTGTGTGTGCACGTCTCTTACTTAAATCCCCAGCCGGTGCCGCCCAGGACGATGGCTGCAACCAGGACAGCCCCGGCGATGGAGCCAATGATGATGTTGGTACCGCTGGGACCTGGGGAGGAGGGCAGGGCTTGGTTGGCAGGGACAGGAATGGAGAATGGGAAAGACAGACCCGCCCTGGCCAGCTCGAGCCTCACCTTTATATCGCTCTGTCTCCCCGGTGGGTGGGGATGTGGGCAGGGGGTTGTGGATGCTGCAGTCTTTGCCTGTCCAGTCAGGCTGACAGATGCACTTCCCTTCATTGCTACAGACCTAGAGGTGGGGTGGCGCCAGCAGAGGTGAGTAGATCTGTGTCCCCTCTTGTAAGCCTCTCTCACCATCCCTGGCCTCCAGGCACCCACCCCGTGGTGGGAGCAGATCCGGCGTTCCCCACTGCCTGGGCAGGTGCTGAAGTTGAAGGCAGAGGCTGGTAGGCAGCGGTGGTCCAGGCACAGCATGTTGGGCCCACAGGCCGTGCCATCCTCCACATAGCTCAGGTCTGAGCCGTCAGCCAGCTGCACATGGCCTCCCCTGGGAGATGATACAGCCAGCTTCAATCCCCATCCCCTAGCCTCCATCAGAGCTGCCACCGCCCCTTCCCCAGCCATGGTCCCAACCAACACCTGCAGTCCAGCTCCTTGCCCTGGTGGTAGAAGGTAACACTGCTGATGTCTCCCCCTAGGTCCCCTAGCCGAGGTGCTCCAGAGATGTTGACACAGAGGAGGAAGCCACAGAGCACATCCCTGTTGGGGCATGTGGAGATAGTGAGCCCAAGTTTGGTTCCAGACCCAACTACTGAACTCTGTTCTGCCCTTTCCACTGGGCTTCGGGGTCCTCCTAGAAGAACCTGAATATCACTTCCCTCCCCAGAGCTGGGGAGGCTCAGTAGGTGCCTTGACTACTCACTGCTTATTGCACTGGACCCAGCCTGACCCCTTGCGCCCACAGTTCCCACGCTCTGTCCCCTCCACATTCAGCTTCTCATAGCAGAATCGATCAGCAGCCACTGGGGAAAGATGATGCCAGGTGTCACCCCACCTACCCCAGGACCTCAGGCCCACACCTCCCTGACTGTGGTTTGATTTCCAGGCCAGTTGGCTCTCTGAGATCCTGGGAGCCTCTCAATTGTGGGTCCCTCAGAGTCCCCTCTCCACACTTAGCCAGACTCACCATGGCCCCAAAGGGCCTGGCACTGTCGGTCCCGAGTTTTGCAGCGACCTCCATAGCAACGACCCTGAAGGAGCAGCAAACGAGACAAGAGATGGAGAGAGACACTGGGGGATCAGACGGAGACAAGAGATTGCATTGAGCCATGAGGGGAAGGAGCCCCCTCCCCTCATACCTGCTCATGATCACAGTAGTAACCATCCAGCTTGTGCAAGTTAGGGGGACACTGTGGAAAGAGGGCCGACTGAGCAGACACCCCAGGGAGGCATACAAGCTTGCCAAATGCCTGGGGGCTGAGAACATAGCTCAACTGGTAGAGTGCTTGCCTTGCACGCACAACGCCCTGGGTTCAATCCTCAGTTTAAAAAAAAAAAAAAAGCCTCCCCTGGGATTGGGACTCATGTTACAGGGTTCTTGAACCTTAAGGACAAAAGGGATGTGTCTGGTTCTGGATTTAACTATGTAGATTCAAAAATCCTTTGGCCTCTCCAGCTTTCCTCAGTCTTCTACACCCACCCATCTCTGAGGACAGGGAGAAAAAAATGCCTAGCACATAATTACCACTTAATTGATGTTAACCAATATTATTATCCACTCTGATCCCTAGCATACACTAGGTGCTGTGCCAGGCGCTGGAAATACCAGCCAGACTGTAAATGCTGGTTTAATGACTGAAGGAACGAAGCCAGGAGGCATGAAGAACCCCTTTCTCAGATAAGAAAATGAGATGATGAGCGGCTAGTGTCGCCAGCTGCGAAGCGAAGGGGCTCAGAGAGCTGTCACAGAGCCAAACCGATAGGGGTAGGGGCTGCCTTGCCCGGGGCTCCGTATGACGACTTGGCCGGGCGGACCTGGCTTGAGTCTCCAGTGCAGGTCTCGGCGATGTCGCATTCGTTCACCGCCTCTCGGCAGGAGACACCTCGTGGCTCGTACTAAGGAAGGGATGCATTTCGGGGCTATAGATACCTCGGCGCCGTCCTCTCCGGGACCATACCCTCTTCCCCACGGGTTCTCATTTCCCTGTCCCCCCCACTTACGGGCTGCTCACCCCTCACCCCCATCCCACCCCTCAGAGCCAGGCTTTCAACAGTCCAAGGTGGCCGAACGCCCCGCCCCCAAGCGCTCATTGGTGCTTCTTTCGCGCCAGGTCCCGCCCATATATGTGCTCCGCCCTTAACAGCTCCGCCTCGTGTGTGTGTGTGTGTGTGTGTGTGTGTGTGTGTGTGTGTACACACGCGCACGCACGAGATGAACCCAGAACCTCATGCTTACCGGGCAAGCGCGCTGTACCACTGAACCACACCCTGAACCACATCCCCAGCCCCTGGCGCCTCTTATCTGAAGTCGTCCCATTGTCCCTCCGTGGTCCCGGCCCCGCCCGATCGCTCTTCCTCACCTTGCAGCGGCGACAGCAGAGCCCGTCGCTGCACATAGCATCGTGAGTCAGAGTGCACTTCTTGCAGCAGTTGCCACCCGCTCGGCTGCATTCCTGAGGGTCGCGAAGAGTAGCGGAGGGAAGCGGGCAAGTCCTAATTCTCCCCACTCCGACCCTCCCCCGCGCCCACCTCCGCCTCCCTGGTCGCGTCCGGCGCGCGCTTCGGCCGCTCACCTGCACCGAGCCGCAGTCACATTCCTCCCCCGCCTCCACGAAGCCGTTTCCGCACTCGGGGGGGTCCAGAAGCTGGACCGGGAGGGGGTGTCGGGAGTCTGGCTGGGACCTTGCCCAAGCCCGCCTCCCCTGTACCCCGCCCCGGGGCTGGTACCTTGAGGGGCTTGTTGAAGAGGCAGCTCCCGCCGCCCTCCTGCAGAAACTGGTTGTACTCATCGATGCTGCAGCGCGAGAACTTGCGGGGCAGGTAGAACCTGGGCGATGGTGAGGGGATGGATGATCCCCCCCAGCCCGCCCTCTCGCCCCTTGTTAACTCTGGGGAGCGGGCACACCAGGGTCTCGGTCACCATCGAAAGGCGGCTGAATGCACTACAATCCTCCCGCCTGCCCATCTAGGAATGAGCGGAGGACGTAGCTCCCGCCAGCTCTGCGGAATCTCAGGATTCCGTGCATTGAGAAGGGACCGCGCCTCCACACGACGCTCGGGCGGCGCCCAGTGGCGAACGCGTGCACTACAGTCTGGCCAAGTTCCGTGTCCCAGCAGGGGAATCTGGGCCTTCTGAGTAGTGTTCGAAGAGAACTGGACTTCTTGGAATCCCGTGTGGTCCCGTGAGCTGGGCTTTTGGGGCGCAGATTACATCCAGTGCCTTTTCTGGGATTCCCCTCAAGACCCTCTCCTCAGTTCGTGCCCAAGAACTCACCCAGTATCCTCCATGATGCAGCCCAGCCAGATGTCTGGACACTTGCAGTCCCCTGAGAGGGAGCCAGGAGGATATGAGGGAGGGTGGGGGACCACTCCCTCCCACTTACACCCTTTTTACTTCTAGAGTTGCTGGGTGTGGGTGGAGGCTGGCTGTGGAATCACTTGGCGTTCTCTAAGGGTTGATACCTGCTGAGCTCCTGTGTTTGTTCCACATCATGCCCAGGTTCTGCCCCAGCGTCTGGGCCAGGGTCACTGCCATGGCCCCCATGTTGCCATACTAGGGGTGGGGAAGATGGAGCACAAAGATGTCTCCATCCTCCCAACAGGCATCTTGGGCACTGTATCCCCTCTCCCTCAACCCCACCTCAGCCAGGCCCTCCCTACTCACCTCGTTGACACCCCCACCCCTGGACAGGGAGCAGATGCCCCCCACGTAGGCTGCACCACTGCTGGTGCTTTGGAAGGTCCTGCCCCTGGAAGGAAAGGGTTGTCAGGGTGATCTCCTGCCTTCCCTATGTGACTCCCTGGGGTGGTAGGAGGTTGGGGGTGGGGGACCCTGACACTAGAGTCCTTCCTTGGGCCTCATTTGCCTGAAAGTCACGTAAGAGATTCCTATTAGATCATCTCTAGTTGCAAGGCCCTGTAATTAGATCCCCCCCCACCCCATCAGGGTACTGGGTCTCTGAGGAAAGGATAATGGGACAGTCTGAAGGGGAAAGAGGGGACTGTGGGGAGGTAAGGGTATATGAAGACCCCCCCCCCAGAGCTAAGGCAATGGGACCCAGCCTAAGATGCAGAGGATGCCCAGCCAGTTGCATTTGGCTGGGGCAGGTGTCAAGTGCAAGGTGAGCCTGGCCCTCAGACTCCCCAGGCTCTGAGGAGAGCACCTGCACAGGCAGGTGTTAAGAACCGTAAGCACCACAGAAGGAGCCCAGGCCAAGTGCATGGGTCAAGGGACTCACGAGAAGAGGTGGGTGGCATCACTGGGCTCAGGCAAACCCTCCCGCCGGTAGACCATGAGCCGGGCCAGGGTTTCCAGGAGGTCATCCTGCACCTGGATCTTGTTCCCATCTGCCCATGTTTCCATGGCAACCAGCACAATGCGGGTGTTGAGCTGCTCCTTGTATATCTGGTACCAGAGGGAAGAAGATGAGGAGGGTTGGACGGTGGGAGTGGTTGTGGGGGGACAGGGATATCCCTCCAGGAAGTGGGGGTCAGAGGCTGAAAGTGACCCCCGGATGTGTGGAAGAGTGTGGTGAAGATGGAGGAAGGGCTGCTCACCACATCTGCCAGGTTCACCACGGACTTGGCAAAGTTGCTGGTGAGGACCACAGACTGTCGCATCTGCTCAAACTGCAAAAGAGGAGAGGGGGAGGGAGGGAGGCTTCTTCCTGGCCCCTCCTCCTGGTGTCACCCCCCAAGTCTGGGAACTTACCAGCTGGTGGTCATTGATTACAATCAGCTCCACGTACTTGGTCTCACTGTGTACAGTGGGGTGGCCCCTGCGGACCTGGGGGGTGGGTGGGCACTTGGAATCAGTCCCTCCATGTTTGGCCTCATGGCCAAGCCATGGAAGACTCGGTGTATGTGGGGTGGTCCGGACTGCAGCGGGGGACAGTGCCAGCCTCCACTGTGGCGTATCCCATCCCTCCCCAGCCTGGGAATGGGCACAGAGGGCCAGCAGCCTTTGCTTGCCTGAGATGGGGACCTGTGTAGACATCAGTGTTAGGGAGGAGTTGGGGGGCTCTTCCCAGAGATGGCTCCCTGGCCATAGGTGGGAGTTCCTGCCCTGGACCACAGCCTGATGTCTCTGCAGCCCGAGGTCTGAGCGGGCCCCGTACCTGCCTTTTCCTTCTCAGCTTCGGCCGGTTTGGAGGAGCAGAATGGGCGGGGTCAGCGAACAGGCAGCCTGTGGGGAGGGGCAGGTGAGGGGGGCACAGCCCACCCCCACCCCAGCCCAACCTTCCCTCCCTTACCTGGTTCCCTGCATCCGAGGGGGGCTGGGAGGAGAGGGGTCCGGTAAATGAGGTGGGGAAGGGGTCCCTGCAATGAGGGGGGATTAGTTCTTGGGGAGCCAAGCAGGTCTGCTCTGGGCCCAGTTGAGGGGGTAGCTGCAGCCCTTCTCTCCATGCCACCCTAGGGTGACCCAGAACTGGCCAGAGCTCCCATGTCGGATCTGATCTCCCAGATGCTCAGATTCCGGGGTCAAGACCTGGGGGTGCCCTGAGAGACATGGGGCAAAGGACACTGGAGCCCAATTGGAGGTCACTCAGGGGACAGAGGGGACATTGGAGCTGGGGGCATAGGGCGAGGGAACCAGAGCTGGGATCACTGAGGAGGGCAGTGAGTCTGAGGTTACTGAGGGAGGGAGGCGGAGGAGGAGGCAGAGACAGCTGTTGGGACGGTCACAGCATGGCCACCCGAGGGGGTGGTGAGGGCTTACCTGGGGGGCTCCCCAAGGCCCAGCCATCTCTTGGGGCTCCACAATGTAAGTCAGGTTCCCATCAGAGAAGACCCCACTGTGGAGAGAGAGGCACAGATCCCCACCGTCCCAGACTGGGCAGGAGGCTCTCCCTGCCACCCAGCCCTGCGGGTACTCACTGCAGCCCCCAGCAGGTGGAGATGGCGGCAAAGGAGTGCGGGCTGCCCCGGAGCTTCCCCTGGTAGTAGCAGTGGTCTCCAGCCCCCTGGGGAGCAGCAGAACAGTAAGCAGAAGGCAACCCACCCTGGCACGGAGGCAGGAGGATGGTGGGGGAGCACAGAAAGCTCCCTGTGTGCAGGTGACTGGAGTCCCAGGTATACCTGGGCCTCTGGGGTCTGGTTCTATGCTGCTGGTGCTCCTCATTGGCCGTTTCCTAACCCTCTCTGTGCCAAGTTCACCTCTCCTATAAAATGAGGAAGTTGGACCATGGCAGGGGTTCTTAGCCATCTGTTGGTCACAGACTCCTTTGAGACTAATATCTAACATTTATATAGCACCTGCTGTGTGTCAGGCCCTCTTCCACGCACTTACCATGTATTATCTCATTTAATAATAAGATGACTGCAATGGACTCACCCTAACCCACACCATCTCACTTGAACACTGCCTCTATGGCACACACCTAGACATGTGGTCTGTGGCTGAGGAATTCTAAGCAGCATGGGTCCTCCTGGCCAGGCTCATGGGTCAGGGGACCAGCAGCACCCCCCTTCCCCAACTCTGCTTCCTGCAGAATTACTTGTGCTCCAGTTACTGAACAGGCTGGGAGGGGGCAGGCTATTTATAGATACTCATTCATCTCTGTTCAGGCTCCAGGGCCTCCAGGGCTGGGACCCTGGTGTGGCAGGCAGCTGGGAATCCCAGGGCAAGAGGGGGCACTTCCTCCACTGCCTCCTCCCAGGAGATCCTAGGGAGACAGCCAGCAGGGCACAGTGAGGCGGAGCTGGCTTGGAGGCGGACTCCCGGGGCTGGGCAGGGGGCTTCAGGTCCCACACTGTGCGACCTGCCTACCCAAATGGCGATTCTCAGGACTTCCAAGGTGAGGAGAGATAGAAGATCTCCAGGAGTCAGGCCCTCCTGAGTATCTCCCTGACTTCCCTTCCACCAGCCGTCTGTCCCTCCATCTTTTGTCCCCTCAGGGCTGGGGATTGAACCCAGGGCCTGATGCATGCCAGGCAAGCACTTAACCTCAGAGCTCCACAGCAAGCCCTGTCCCTAGACCTTTGCCCACAGAAACAGCAGCCCTATCCCACCTCCCTGTTCCCTTCCGAAGGTACTCACAGTACTGTGCTGGGTTGTCCCCTCCCTGCTGAAGTGGCGCTCTACGTATTGTGAGGAGAGGAGGTGACTGAAACAGCAGATTGGCAGAAGGAAGGAGAGGGTTGTTGGTGAGGTCGGGTCAGGCTTGGGGCCTGCCCCCAGCTCCAGGATCCCTGCACCCACCCTCCACCTGGCACCAGCAGCCACGCCCAGGCACCTGCTGCCCACCCTCCCGCTGCCCTTCCTCCTGGGCTCAAGGCCACACTCACTGGTTCAGCTCCAGGTCCAAGGTGAAGTTTGAGTTGAAGGCTGGGATGACGAAACTCACCTGGGCCAGATGGACAGGCTGAGGTGGGGAAGGGCAAAGGGGAATCAGTCTGAGGCCCCTGGACGGAAGGAGCCCTGGGGAGGGTGCTGGCCCCAACATCTGAGGGGACCCCTCTTTCGGAAGACGCTTTGCACAAGGTCCTCTTCCTCCAAGACCCTGTTCCTTTCCTGGGGGGCAGGGCAGGGTGCTCACCCCTGGGCATGGCCGGCCCCACCCCCTGCCTCTGGGTTGAACTCCTGGGACCAGGTTCCTGGAGCAGCTGGGCCAGCGGGTGGGAGTGTCCCTCAGCCTGCTCATGGCCTCATCCAGGTGCTCCCCGCTGCTGGTAGTACCACCCCAACCTCAAGTGGAGTAAAGGAAAGGTCCCCAGAAGTAACAGAGATAGGGAGAAGAGTCCTGTCCAGGAAAAGGGAAGCAGGCCCTTTGCTTCCTGCCCAGCCCCAGTGCAAACGGGACTGTGTGGATATGGGCGGAGTGGGCAGGAGCTGATCAGGGTGCCCTGGATGTTGGGCAACAGGCAGGTGCCATCCTCTGAGGAGGTAAGGACTTGGCTCCTCTACTCCCAAATCCATTGCCCTCGGCCTTGCCCAAAGCAGCTCATCTTTAATATTTCAATTCCATGGTTAATTTTTAAACACGGAAGTTTTCCTGATAAATTTTTCAGAGGGGCCTATGCAGTGGGGCTGGGAGGTTCCAGGTTGTCATGGCAACGTACCAGGCCTGAGCAAGATGGCTGCCCTCCCAGGCCTGGGCACCGGTTGCCGGGGAGGGGATGGAGACTTCAGATCCTGGAGGGAGAGTCACTCCAAGAGAAGAAGGCAGGAGAGCCCAGTTGAGGGAGTGTCAGCCTTCTTGGGCCCTGAGTCACAATCACCCTAGGGGTACCTCTGGAGGCTCCCGCCTCCTCCCCAACTGGAGTATACGGCCTCAGGTCTTAGGAAGGCTGGAGGGTTCAGGAGCTGGAGCCTCCTTTCTGCCTGTCCATTTAAGAAAACTGAGCTCCAGATACCAAGGTGAGGGTCACAGCACTCTGCCCTGAGGATGGGAAGCTTTTGTTTCCTGCCTGGCTCTCATGGTAGGGGAGCAGGTCGCAGGAAAAAAACGGGAGCCTGACATCGATGTCATGAAATTCCATAGCCTGCTGCCTGGTCTAGCTGCTCAACCACCTGACCATGACTAATCCTCACTGAGCACTTCTTATGCACTAGGCACGGGTCTGTCTTTGATGAGCATGAACAACAACCCTGTAGGATAGCTGCTACTGTCTTTCCCACCTGACAAACAGGGAAATTGAGGCACAGGCAGGCTGATAAATTGGCCCAAGGTCACACATCTGAGAAGTGGTGGAGCTGAGAGTCAAACCTAGGGCATCCATTTCCAGGGCCTTCCCACCCCAAAGGTGAAATAAGATGGAAGTTGGCCTGGGGTCCATGAGAGACCCTGGGAGAGACAGCGAGGTGGGGCGGAGTGCCGAGCCTGGGTAGCGGATCTTTGAGCCCCAAGGACACTGACTCTTCCCCTCCCAGCTGACCAAGGCTCCAAGTCCCATTCTGAGCCCCTAGAACATCGATCAGACTCGAAATAGAAAGTCAAGGACAAGGAGTGACTGCTTTTCTCCCCGCCCCTGCCCTGGGCCTCCTGGCTCTCCCCTCCCTCCCTCCAAACCAGGACTGGCTCTATCCCTGCCCCTCCCCAGCCCTTCTTGGACCATCTCTGCCCTCCCCCTCCCCTTGGAAGGATCCTGCTTGTTGTGTCGGTCCCCCATGGACAAGCCCCTACGCCAGCCCAGAGAAGCAGCTTGCCCTTGCCGCGTTGCCCTGATTCTCTGTCTCAGGATGTGCATCAGGGTCCTAGCAACTTCTCTGAATTTCAGATTTTCCCGCTAAAAATGATGAAGATGAAGGTCACTTTTGAGACTAAGAGGTTGACATTGTTGTGAGAGGTCGTCCTGGGAGTCTGGCACTTTCAAAAGCTTCCCTACTTGGGAGGTCAGCAGGCTAACCTCACTGTCCCCCTCTGTCTGTGGAGGCCAGGCTGGCCCGCTCTAGGGCATGCCCAAGACAGATGGGGGTGCAGTGCCAGAGACTGCAGAGTCCCTTCTGGCCCCACCTCTATGGCCTGTGAGGCTGAACTGTGGGAGCAGATCCCCGTTCCCCAGCAAGATGCGGGGCTCAGGCCAGAGAAGGCAGGACAGCACATGCCCCCAGGCTGGTCCTGACAGAGGCAGATTTGGGAGCTGCCAAAAGGTGGTGGAAGAGAGGAGAGGAGCAGACTCCACGCATGCTCGGAGGACACAGCTCTGAATGCTGTCTGAAGGAAAAGCTAGATCAGGCAGGGCCCCCTCAGTCCCAGGACCTCTGGGTCTCAGACACCAGAGTCCCCAGAGCTCCCAGCCAAGTTTTTCAGGCCAATGTTCTTTCAAAGTCCAACTGTTCTCCTGGCCTACGCCTGTCTCATGCCCCTGACCTGCCCCTGGCCTCATTCCATCGCCTCCCAGGCCCTGGTGGACTTTCCAGTCTTGAGGTCACACCAGTCATCCAGCCACCACTCCCCACCCCAGTAACCAGCTCAGCATGGCAGGGCCAACTCTGCATCCTGCACTGGCCTCTTGCTGCCCTGGCCACCGGCGCAGTCACGTGCTCCACCTCATTTGATCTCGACCCACCCAGGCCGTCTGGACCTCATTTTACAAATGCTGGGCCGAGGCTTAGCGAGGGACACTTGGAGGTGACAGGCTCAGGGTCATGGCCGGGGAGCCAGCTGTCAGGCCAAGTCTCACCCTTGAGCTGGGGGTTGCCTCTGCCGTTGCAGCTGGCAGGATGACGATCCACCTCTTCACCTGAGCTTTCCCTGTTCCTCGTCCCCCACTTTCCCAGACACCTGCTTCAGGGGGACCACACCTCATTCTCTCTGAGGTCTGTGTGGGGCACGACCATGTTCAGGGTGCAGAGAGAAGGAGGCAAAGACTCTGCTGGCATCCCCCCTGAATAATCACAAACACAGATGCTGGTCTCAGACCCAGACCTGCAGGATCTGTTCTTGGGAAAGAGGAGACCAAAGATCTTTAGGGTTCCTAAGTACCCAAGAAAATCTGAACATACAGACCCCTGCTCCCTATGACCTGCAGGCTCTGCCCTTCACCCCCAACGGCACCTCTACTTCCCCACAGCCCTCCCATCCCACCCTCATCTGCATGGTTGGTGCCCACAACCTTGGCTACCCCCTTGCCCGCTGGTCCTTTAAGCAAACAGTGTATATACACACACACACACTTTTTTCTTCAGAATCTCACCATGTTGCCCAGGCTGCCCTTGAACTCCCGGGCTCAAATGATCCGCCTTAGCCTTAGTCTCCCGAATGCTGGGACTACAGGTTCATACCGCCATGCCTAGCCACACTCATTCTTGGCGTGTTTTTTTTTTTATTTTAATGACTGATTCACCATTTCACGAGGACCACCTTTAATCCCCTGGAGCAAGGGGCTCAGCATTCAGTGGAGTGAAAGCAGCAGGAGGCCTAGGTGAGTGCTTAATCCTCGGCCTCAGTTTCCCCATTGGTAAGATGGGACTGTCAGGAGGAGGAAGAGGAAGCCCTGCTCAGTGTGCTGTTATCATGAAGATGCGTGATAATAAATGAGAAAGGATATAGAAAACAGTCCAGCTGAAGGGGGCTTTGAGTACCTGGATAAAAGACCCTCTTAGGCAGGGACAGGCTCCAGATCTGGGTGACTGATTTATCTGTGAGGTGTCTCTCACCTGCGGGCTTCTTTCCGGAATCCTCTCCCAGCCAGCTGGGCTTGGAGACACCACCACCTCCTGGGCTGGGTGGCTGCACATGGGGGAGGAGCTAGGGAGGCAGGGCCCCCCCACGGGGGCGTGTCCTGGCTGGAAGACCCCTCTTTTCACCCCCCAACTGACTCGCTGCAGGGTCCCCAGTGAGGTGCTAATGCTGTATTTATCAACAGGACCAAGGGATTCCCAGACACTGAGAACAGTTGGACAAATTTCTGATGATGAGATTTGACCTAAATTTTTGAAGACAGAGTCACCTCCTCACAAGGTCATCAGTCCCTCTGGGGGAAGGTGCTGGGCAGCTGGGTTCCTCTAGGCAGCCAGGAGGGTGCTTGGGAAAGGCCAAGCCCACAGGCTGGAGTCTGGCTGGGGAGGACTTGAGAGGCCCGGCCTGCCCTGTGCCTCCTGGAGTCCCTCCTGGCGCCTGATGGGTAACCCCCAAAGCCCCGACTCCTGTTCCTCACGCCCATCCCTCAGGCCAGCACCCGGGTGCCCCACTCAGGGGTGCTGGGAACGGGGCTCTGGCTGGATCCCAGGCTGGACACCTGACACACATCATCTCTAGCTCTTGCAGCAGCCTAGGAGTGGGACTGTCATCATCCCCGTTTTATGGAGGAGGAAGGGGGCTTCTCAGAACCCAGGAAGACACGGTGGAGCAGGATCTGCACTGAGGTTCGCTTGCCCCAAAGCCACAGCCAACAGCCTTTCAGACCACAGTCCGCGGACCCTCCCCCTCCCTCCTATGGGGCTCAGCACGTGGCCCTTGGGAACAAGCTGGGTCCACGGGTCCTGGCTATGGCTTTTAGCCACCATGTGCCTCCCAGGAACCTCTCCTTCCCCGACCCCAGGTTAGATCTGCAACTCTGGCCACAGTCCACAGCTAGCCTTGGCTCTAGCAGGTGACAGCACTGGGTGATCACTCTGGGCTGCTGCCTGTGTCACCCATCTTCCCAGGGCTGGAGGTTGAGCCTCCCTCAGTCGCCCCCACCTCTATGCAGCAGGGAAGCAAGAGGCTCTCTGCGCAGGGCTTCTGGGGCAGCATTTCCAGTAAATGCTGCTGTGGGCAGCTCTCAGAGGCCCAGCTCAGGGAGGAGGCCCCCTCCCCCTGCTGGCTCACATGAGCACTGTCTCCTGGGCCTGGGACCCCTTCACTCCAGACCCTGTTCGCTTCCCTCCATCCTGCTTCTCCTTGCTTCCCAAGGATTCTGGGTTCCCCATGGCCAGCTTCGTGTGAATCAAAGAAAGGTGACCCTCAGGACACATGCAGCCTCTTGGGCCCATGGATTTCATTCGGCTCTCTTACCCCTTGCTTGGGTGACTTGCACAGTCAACAACCAGTCTGACTGTACACTGTGGGCCTCTTATCCTCCTGCCTTACCCTTAGCTGTGGGCTGCTTGTGACCAGACATTTCTGTACTTTCAGAAGCCCCTCACTTTTCTGGGTCACAGGCCCAACCTACTTACAAACTGGACAGAAGTTGAGGGGTTGAGAGCAAAGAGAAAGCAAGGGGTCCCTCATGTCCCTTTTCTATACAACCCTGAGTGAGGTGGGCAGTCCACCAGCTAAGTGTGCCACTCTGGGTTTCTTTCCCTTTCTCTCTTTCATACTAGAGATCAAACCCAGGAGTGCTCTACCACTGAACTACATCTCCAACCCTATTTATTTACTTCTTGGTCCCAGGATTGAACCTAGGGTCACTTAACCATGTAGCCAAATCCCCAGCTCTTTTTTTTTTTTTTAATGTTTTTATTTTGAGAGTTTATGGCTAAGTTTTTAAGGTCTTGCTAATTTGCTGAAGCTGGTCTTCAACTTGCCATCCTCATGCCTCAGCTTTGTGAGTTGCTGGGATTACAGGTGTGCGCCACCACGCCCGGCACCCTTTATATTTTTTTATCTTAAAATAGGGTCTCACTAAGTTGCCCAGGCTTGCCTTGAACTTACTATCCTCTTGCCTGGGCCTGCAAAGTCCCTGGGATTATGGGCATGGGTCACTGCACCTGGCTGGATATCAATGTTGACCCAGCTACTGATGTGACTTGGGAGAGTTACTTCCTCTCTCTTTGCCTGTTTTCCCCATCTGTGAAATGGAAATCATGGTCCCATCTCCTGGAGTCGGGATGAGGATTAAATAGACTCATATGTGTAAAGGCACAAGTGTGCCTGCCTTAATGGACTGGTAATTGTGATCTCTCTATCCTCTAATTCTTTCCTGGTCACCTTCTCTTTCCCCTGTGCTAGCCCCATGTCCACTCCCACCAAGCCAAGGATCCCCAGCAACCAAGCCCTTTCCCATAGCCGCCTCCTGGAGCTAAGAGGGGCTGAGATTTATGATTTCTTCATCCAGACGAGGCTCAGAAAGGTGAACGGATCAGCCCAACACCAGGGCAGGTCAGTGCCCAAGGTTCCCCGCCCCAGCCCTGCGCAGCAACATGTGCCCCAGGCTGCCCACGTGGCCGGAGACCTCGATGCCTGTTCAACTGCTCAATTGGAAGTCCTCACCAGGGAGATAACTTGGGACAGAAACCAAGCAGCACGGGTGTAGAGAGTTTCCCGCTGGACCAGGGTGGTCAAGGCTGCCCTGACACCACCATCAGCCCCAGAAGTGCTCCAACCCTGGGGACAAATGCTGGGTGGGAGATTGAAAGTCAGAGAAAACCTTCTGGACAGGTCACTTGTCTCCTTTGGTCTTCTTCCATCTTTCTTGCTCTAGGTGCAGTTGGGGAAGTGCCCCTTGACCCAGATCCAGAGAGCCCTGGAGGCAGAACAGTGCAGTGCAGGAGCCCTGGTCTTGGAGAAAATTACTCCCAGCTCCACTAATTAAGATCTGATTGATTTGGGGTAAGTTACTTAACCTCTCTGAGCCTGAGTTTGTTCATCTGCAAAACGGAGCAGACAGATGTTACCTGCTTCCCAGAGTTGCAAGACTTAAATGATGTGCTCACAAAGCTCAGCAGAAAGCCTGGCCCAGAGAAGTCCAAGGGAAACTGAGGCAGGGCCCTAAGTCCCCTGAGGAGGCTACCAGAGAAGTCTCAGTCCCAGAGAGACCCCTACTGCAGATGACTACTGTCCACAGACCCACAGGACTCTCCGCTCCCACTCCCGCCCCCAGGCACCCCTTAGGTGTATTCAGATTTGGTCACTAACATATACGCCACACATGCACACAGGCCACCCACTCACCCAGCAGAACAACACTCAAAGAGACACCCCACCCATCCAGTCCCACTGCACCTCCCTGATCTCCCTCACAGCTACAGGCGCCTCCTCTCCAAAAAGGACCAGGCCCAAGAAGCCACTTGGATCCCTGACTTTTCAACCCTACCAGGCTCCCGTGATTCCCCTCATCTCTGCCCCCTGACCCCAAGGTGACATCACTCCTTCCCCAACCTGTCATCCGCTAAAGCACAATCAGAGTCCCAGCAGTCAGGCAGGGTCTCCAAGGCCCTACCAAGGCAGCCGTGGGGTGCACAATTCACAGAAAGCCAGTCTAAGAACCAAACTGCAGCTGGGACACCGCATCCCCGCTACGAGGACCATCCTTATGCCCACCCACCTGCTCCCAGGGAGCCTGGGTAGGCGCCGCCAAAGCTGGTCTCTCCCCCCTGGCTCAGCCACCGGCTCAGGACCATCAGCCCCCTCCTCTCCGGGTCCCCATCACTGCCCTGAGTGATGGTGCATCTATTATGCATGTTCCCTTCCTGCTCCACTCCATTTCACAGTACTCCCCACCCCTGCATCACCCCACACCCCCTCCCCCTTAAGGGCTTTTAACCAAGTACATTAGGCAGGGCCAGATGCCAGTCTGACAGATGTCTGTAATGTTAGCCTCCGTTTCCCTCCTTCCTCCCTCTGCCCAGCCCAATTTACCTCCCACCACTTGGAGCTGCCAAAACTTCCCAGACTTTGTTGTGCCCCTCCTCTGAGTCTCTCCTGACACCCCCTGTTTCTGCTGGGCCTTCATCATCCAGGCCAAATGCCCTCTGCCGCCCCCATTGGCCTGGCTAACTTTCAGCATCAAGGTCCTGGAGAACTGAGGCACGCTGAATGGATATTCCATCTGGATGATTATTATTCACATGATATTAATTAATTATTAATTGCAATTAATCTCTTTCATTCCTAACCTTCCTGTGGGAGGCAGGAAGGGCCTGGCAGCTGAAAAGGACAGGGGCAGGTAGAGCTGGTGTTGGTGGGTGAGCTTGAGTACTCCAACCATTTTCCAAGGTCCCACCTTCAGCCAGGACAGGAAGGCAGATCAAGTTTGTGCACAGTGGGAAACTGAGGCAGGAGCACACACTAAAGTTGTTCTAAGAAAGCTGAGGGTGGCTTTAGCGAACCTGGAAGTCAGAGTCCCTGATTGGGCACTGGGCAGCTTCTCCCTGGCCCGCACTGTTCTGCCCAAGCCCCATTTTAAGCAGAACCACTAGATGGGGCAGGGAGAGGGTGCTAGTGGAAGGCTGACCCATGACAGAACTGAGGCCTGGGTGAGCCAGTGTCCCTGAGGGCTGACAGCAGGGGATCTCCACAATGATGGAAGGGACCAGGATGGGCAGGCCCAGGGCTTCCCACAGCCCATTGTACAGAAGGGGAAGCTGCCACGGCCAGCTGCTGAGGTGGCGCCCAACCCTTGGCTACCCAGTTGCTTCCCTTGGGTTCTGAGGCCTGCTTCAGCCCCCTTCCCTCATCACCAGCCCCACTCACCGGGCCCCCAGGTGGCTCCTGGCGGACCCTGGTATCCAGCTGCTGCTTTCGGACCTCTCCCCCGGAGCTCTCCCCTACCAGACGGCTGGGCTCTGTGACCTCGGGGGCTTCTACAATCCCCACCTGGGGTGAGCCCCTCCAGCGCAGAGCTCCTACAGGATCCCGGGCCCCAAGACCTGAGAAGACAAGGCCATAGCTGCAGGCAGATGCCCTCCACGGGGCAGGAGACTTGGGAGGCGGGTGGGCACACCCCAGCCCCCAATCTGGCGTGGCCCTTGGAGCCTTGGATCTTAATCGGGTGGGAGGATCTGGCTACCCTGCAGGGGAAGAACCCCAAGGGGAGGGGACCAGGAGCTTCGTCCTGCCCAACCGTCACGACTGCCCCCCCAAACCTGCAGAGACCTGCAGAGTCGGCCGGCCAACGGCAGGGGAATGGCCGCGGTGAGGCCGGCAAGATCGGGACAGGTGGGTGGACGCACCTTGCCTCTTCTCCCGTTCCCCCACCCTCCCGCGCTCTGGATCGGCTGTCACCCGGGGCACTGCAGGAAAATGTGGCTGCTGCAGAAACCGCCGCAAAGCCCGGGGCGGGGGCCGGACGGGGGTACCCGGCAAGGCGGGGGTCACTTACCGGGCGCGGGGAGCAGCGGCAGCAGCAGCAGCAGAGCCGCGATCGCCCGGCGCCGCAGCCGCCTCATGGTTCGCTCATAATCCTCCGGGTCCGGGGGCTGCGGCTGCCAGCGGCGC